GCGTGTGTACGCAGTCTCAAACTACCTTTCATGGGAGGCCGCAGTGCCAATGTTGAGAATTCTCGTAACTTTAAACCCACCGTTCACGGAGGCGGTGCCAGACAGACCGTCAACGGGCGACTGCTCTCGCCTTACATCGTAAATAATAACGGCATTGAATCGTGGACTCACATGGAATACAGTTATGAATTCCAACACTGGTTGAAAGATTCAAGTTTTTCAGTAGAATATTTGGTGAAAAATGTTGTTTGTTTTTCAGACATTTTTCACTGAAAAAGTAACTGAAAAACTTAAAACATTTTCACCATTTCTTCAGCCCAAGGTGAAAAATTTGAAAAGAAGTTTGAAAGTGGTGAAAAAAGTTTAAAATTTTCACCACTATTTTCAGTGAAAAATGTCTGAAAAACAAACAACATTTTTCACCGAAAGTTCTACTGAAAAACTTGAATTTCCCAATCAGTGCAATCCCCCCTCGGAAACCTTACCACGGTGCTGCAGAGGCATAAAAATTGTGTCGCCGTCGGCATTCCACTAGAAAAAATTATCCCCCTATTAACGAAGGCCGAGATTATTGCATTGTCAAAATTACATGGTGTGTGGATATCAACCAGGTTTTCTGTCGCCATGTGTCGTGACCGTCTGAAGGGGCACCAATGTCAAAATTGCGATGAAGTTGTTTCGATCTTTCGTAACATCCACGCTGATAGCACAGGTGTTATGCACACACCAAAGCCCACTGTAATCAAACCCAACGTCAAAAAGTTCAGGAAGCCAAGATACGTGGTGCGGTCTGCTGCCCGGTTGACTCACGAGATGCTACTGAAAAGGCAGTCAGTATACCGTCTCAAGTTGCTGAGACGTAAAAACACCGGTCAGCTGTCAGACACGACATTCCCTCCTAAACCACTCTCAAGAATGGCTGCGCAACGAATCATCTCCAACCACTGTAGAACAGTGCGACCGAGGACTTTTGCTGAAGCTGGATGTGCGGTGTGCGGCTGTTTAGTTCCTCTTAAAAAGTTGACACTGCTAGAAAAATATGAAGGGAGTCTAGGGTTGCTAATCAGACCCGGAGTAACGCGAAAAGAGAGGTTTAAGTTGAATGATCCAATCGAGGAACTTGAAGGGCCGGTCCTAGCGGAAGGGTGCAAGCACATATGTGTTGAATGCGAGATATTTTTGAACAATGGAGCTGTGCCTAAAATTGCCCTCGTGCGAGACAACTGGATTGGTCCGGTTCCGGAGCAACTACAGGACTTGACTTACGCAGAAGGGATTATGATTGCCCGAATCCGACACAACCGGTGTGTTGTGCGTGTTAACTCGGGACGTGTGAGAATGAGCGCCAATGCAATCATGTTTTCACAGCCTGTTTTGTCTATCCTGAATCAACTGCCGCCAGCAAAGGAGGAGATGAATGAAATTTTGGGCTTTGTGTTCATGGGCTCAGCAGCACCAACGCAGGAGGATTTCGACCGCACACCGATGCTTGTACGCAAAAAATAAAGTGGTTGCTTTGGAATGGCTCAAATTGAACCACACAGGACACAAGGATCTAGAAATTTCACAAAAGAACCTGGACTCATATGCAGAGAGAGACATACCCGTTGTCGTTGACTTTGTGCGAACCAAGCAAGAAATTAGTGATGCAGTGCCTGCTGGGACAACTGCTGTGTACGAAGTGGCTAAGGAGCACGGCACTAAAAGTGGGAAATGTACATTTACAGTTCATGGGTTGACCGCCACCGAATATGCCACGGCAACCATGAAGACAATCAAATCAGTGGCCCTTCAACATTTAACGCATAAAGGCAGTATGTTAGGTATCGGGCGATCCGAGTTGCCAGTGAGTATGTACGACAATCCCGATGCATACCCAGGGATGTTTCCTTGGCTCTTCCCCTACGGCAAAGGAGGTATCGGCCAGCCTAGTCACTCTAACAAGCAAGGTGATCTAACAAGAAAAAAATCGCTTTTAATGTACCACGACAAAAGATTTCAACTTGATACTTACTTTCCAATGATCGCCTTCAATCATGAACAGCTCAGGGCCGCATCAACAGGTAGTATGTTGTTGGCCAAGAGATCCAAATTTGCCGCTATCTCCCGAAGACTGTCAGCTGTGAACCCCAAGGTCGCTGCAAACATTGCCGATAGAATGGCTCAAGGCGAACATGTTAAACCCAGCAATCCTGCAGAGCAACTTTGCTTTGATTTAATCAAGGACTTGGACGGTGTAGCAGGCCGAGTTATGGGATCAATAACCTCCAAGAAATACATGCATATCGAAATTTGGTCAACAATAGCGTTCTTCAATGCCCCGACGTGGTTTATTACGCTTGCATGGTTGGACTTACATCATCCTTTGGCTCTTTACTACGCCCAGACTGACACAATCTATCGACCAGAAATTCGAACTTCAAAGGAACGAAACAAGTTGATGTCCAGCAATCCGGTTTCGGCTGCACGCTTTTTCCACTACATGGTTCAGGCATTTCTCACCGATGTTTTGGGTTGGGAGAGTCAGGACTGAGGTGTATTTGGACACACCAATGCATACTATGGCACAGTGGAACAGCAAGGACGTTTAACACTGCACTTACATCAAGTTATTTGGATCACAAATGCTTTGTCTCCCCAGGAAATCCGGGACCGGCTGCTAGGGCCCAAATCCAAGTTCAGGAAATGTTTGATCACTTACCTCGAGGATTCGCACCGCGCAGAATATTTCCATGGCTCCCGTGATAACGTGATCGCCAAGCGTAAAGTTGCACCTCTGCCTGTTGATGCTGACAGCGACGAGGAGGTTGACTGGGAATCAGATTATCGGCCACCTACGCAGACTCTCCCAAAGCCCCCGCCTCCCCGCTGTCCTTCCAAGGTATGCACCGAGCTTTGTATCAACTGCAAACGGAGCGATTCTTGGTGGGAGAGTTATAAGCTCAAGGTCGATGACTTACTTGTGCGATCCAATGTGCACACCCACTTTTTGTCGGTTGAGAATCAGAGGGCAGAGAATATTAAAAAGCAGTGGAGAAAAGGTAAGAATGGGAAGAAGGGGCAAGATTTCAAATTTAAACGAGAGAGAAAAGGATGTCTGTCGAGGACCGGCGTGTGCAAGGCACGGTTTCCCAGGGAAGTTTTCACTGCTTCGGAGATGATGGAGGACGGGCACATTAATGTCCGACATGTTGAGCCAATGATGAACACGGTAAACCCAATACTGACATCACCTTGCTTGTCAAGGTCTCTCCAACCTCATAATGGACGCGTTTCATGCAACCCGGTTTGATCCGTCCGTTTTCTCCCGCGTGCACAGCCTTGGTCTTCCTCTTTGCTTTCATATGCAAAATCTACTGGCTAACTATCACTCTCTCTACTACTCATCCGGTCCCACCACTTCTTTATCCTCTCATTTGATTCCTCCAATCTATCATCTTCGGCCAAGTCTCGCGTCGTGTGCTTGTCAGAAAATCTCGTCGTTGAAATCCCGCAATATTTGTATCGTCTTTCATCCTGAACTTTGACCGCGGTTACCGTAATAGCAAACAGCAGGAACGGGGACACAATTTTTTTGGAGCAGTACAGCTGGTTGCCAAGAGTGAAATGCATGTAAATACACAATATTTCTTGATCGATGCGGCAAGGTGTTCTTCCGACTACGTCAGAGCTTCCTAGTTTCTGAATCGATGCAATACCGATGTGTCGAGCATGCTATCTGGAACCGCTGTGAAGGCAGTAGTTTCGTATGTGTCTGACTACATATCCAAGTTGAGCTTGAAGTCCTACCAGATGTTTGCTTCGGTCTATGATGTGTTCGAAAAGGAATCAGAGATAATAGGAGGCTCAGAACAAGACAAAAATAATGCGCGCCATATGATGAGAAAAATGGTAAATTCCATGAGCGCCAAGATGGAGATCGGTAGTCCGATGGCATCGATGTACTTGCTGGGCAACCCTGATCATTATACAAGCCACAAATATGTGCCGTTCGCATGGAGACAATATGTGCAGTTTGTTCGAAATTTTTGGGTGGAATCCCTCAAGCAGGAGGAAGAGGAGGATGGACTCGAGGATTCATTGTTGGGAAGGGATGACGAAGAACGTGTACCGATCCGCCGAATGCATCAGCAAAACCTCTTTTTTGCTGTAGTTGGCGTAGTTGGTGTAGTTGGCTGTAGTTGGCTGTAGTTTGAGCTCAACTATGTAGTGCTATGTAGTTCTACATAGTTTGTAGGGACTCTACATAGTTCCATGTAGTTTGGGGGATTCTATGTAGTTTATGTAGTTCAACGGGGTATTATGTGGTTTCTGATCAGCGCCCAACTGTCCACTCTTCAACACACATTATGAAGATCTGATTGTTCAGGAAATTGCAGAAGGTCTGGTTTTGAGTTGTTCTGACTTTGAAAATTGTTGCATGTTGGAAAGTATTTTGTGTTTTACGCTTCAACCAAGCTGTTTGGCGAAAAGTGGTAGAGAAGACTTTTGTAGCTCTCTTCAAGCTCTACAACTTTGGTTTTGGTCTATTTTTAGCATCTACCACATATTTTACACACCCTGGATTTTTTTTTCAAAGTGAAGTCTTTCAGAGTTGATAGAAAATTATCCACACCCCAGATCACTGGTTGAAAGATTCAAGTTTTTCAGTAGAATTTTTGGTGAAAAATGTCGTTTGTTTTTCAGACATTTTTCACTGAAAAAGTAGCTGAAAAACTTAAAACATTTTCACCATTTTCTTGAGCCTAAGGTGAAAAATTTGAAAGAAAGTTTGAAAGTGGTGAAAAAAGTTCAAATTTTTCACCACTATTTTCAGTGAAAAATGTCTGAAAAACAAACAACATTTTTCACTGAAAATTCTACTGAAAAACTTGAATTTCCCAACCAGTGAGATACAGCAGACAGTGTGAATGGGCAACAGGTGTGGGCGGAGAGAAGAGTAACCTGGCTTGGATATAGGAGGGTACCTATGTATCAGAATCATTCCCATTGGCTTACATGCTCTCTTAGCTCAGTTGGTTAGTGCATGGAACTCTGTATTTTGCCTGAACCCCCGAGGTCGCGCGTTCGATTCTCTCAGGAAGCACTTTGTTTAGTTTAATAATGACTTAGAATAGAATTGCGATCCAATAAGTAGTTAATTAGTTGAATTGACATGACTGGTTACCCTTGGATTGAACAATGTAAGATAGTAGTAGTGGAGCACTGGGTGGCCGGTGATTGAGTAAGACTTTTCTTACCTTCAGAACCTCAACTACGTAGAACCGTGTAGAAACCCTCTCAACTACATGGAACTACGTAAGGGGTACCCTTTCTACAGAACTACAGGGACTACGTAGTGCTACGTAGCAAGCCCCGGGTTTGCTGATGTGGATGGCAAGTTTGTGCCCTCTTCCGCTGTTGATGACTACAGATATAGACCCGCAGCGTACAATAACATGACACTGTATGAATGGGTTCAATGTTCAACCAAAAAGAAAAGGTCGAATCGACACCGCGCACTTTTTGAGGAGGATATCCGGCAGGCTAATCATCCCCAATCCGAGTATCACAAGGCTGCGTTAGCAAGGCTACGCGAAGATGATGAAGACAGTCAAATACACAGATGAATTCCTGGAAGATGAGCCCAATGATGAAGAGAACGACCAGGATATTGCTTTAGAGACAGAAATTTTGAACTCGGAGTTAAAAGATGATGAATCGGATTGGGAAACTGACGACGAAGACGATGAGATACTGGAGAAGGAGGCAAAGAAGAGGAAGGAAAACAAGCCGGTTGACCACCCCTTTATGCCCAAACATGCCCTCTTTCTGTCGCACTCTGTCAGCTGCAATTTTGATAAGTTGTATACCACTATACCAAATTTCATCGGAGGCTCAATTCCGAGATCGGACAAGGGAGACAGAGCTGCTTATTGTATGGCCATACTTACCTTGTTCAAACCTTGGAGATCCCCTGGAGACTTGAAGGATACCGTCTCAACCTGGGATCAAGCATTCAGGGAGCACACATTCACTGACCGGCAGTCTCAATTAATCAAGAATTTCGATGTGAGGTATGAATGTAACGACGCGCGCGATGATCATTTTGCCCAAATGAAGAAGAAGATGAAGGAAGCGAAAGCAGCAGGGAAATACATTTGGCCATCCGGATTTTTGAGCTACAAGGACAAGTTCGCAGATGATCTGAATGAGTTTGATTATGGTTCGGACGATGATAATCTTGAAGATAACGACAACGATGTTGAAAAAGGTCCGAGAACTTTGCGCATGCTTGCGGAAGCCAAGGATATGAGGAATATCATGCAGACCAGTGGCTGGCTCAACCCCTCAGTGAATGGTTTGCCGGACGTCGATATGGATCAAATAATGCCACCACTGAAACCTAGAATGGAGTGGATTAGCATCGTAAAGCATCAAAGAGAGGGACTTACTGCGAACAAATTAGCTAACCTTCCGCCGATGGCACAATCCGCAAAGAAAAGAAAGGTTCCAGAAGGTACTGAAATTTTATCATATGATTATTTCAACCACCGATCAAATGTTGAGGCTGTAAAAAATTCCGACATTGTATCCAGCATCATAATGAGCTATGGTCTCAACACGGAGCAAACCAGAGCATTTCGAATAGTTGCTGATCACGCAGCCGGTCCACAGACCACGCCTCTCCGAATGTACCTGGGCGGAATGGGGGGCACTGGCAAATCAGAAGTTTTAAAGGCAATAATCGAGTTCTTCAAGAGGAGGAATGAAGATTACAGATATTTGGTGCTTGGCCCAACAGGTTCAACAGCGGCATTACTAAATGGGTTCGACTTACCATTCAGTATTCAAGATTCCCCGGGAGTCGAAGAGTAAAAATCACGATGACATAGAGGGAATTCGGAATGAGGGTTCTGGTTTGGCTGCGGTGAACGAGCGCCTCCAAGGGGTGGACTACATATTCTTGGATGAGATATCAATGGTATCTTGTAATGATTTTCAGTTATTGGCCACTCAAGCCGCCAAGGCACGAAATATTCACGATGATTCCTTCGGCTCTTTAAGCATGATTGTGGCTGGCGACTTTGCCCAGTTGCCTCCGATGACAGGGCCCTCTTTGTATAGCGGGACAGTTACACTGAGCGTCTCCGACGCGATGGACCAGCGTAGTCAGAATGCAGTGTTAGGCAGAATCCTCTGGCATCAGTTCAACACCGTGGTTATGCTACGACAAAATATGAGACAACAGAAGCAGTCTGAAGGCGACGACAAATTGAGACTGGCACTCGAGAATATGTGATACGGGGCCTGCACGGAGGGAGATATTGAGTTCCTCGAGTCTCGAATTGCTGGATTTCGCCTAGAAGATCCTAAATTGAACGAGAAGGAAATTAGGAACGCGTCGATCATAACAGCGAGGAAAAGCCAAAAGGATGCGTTGAACCAGATGGGGGCGGAAAGATTTGGGAAGGATACAAACCAAACCTTGGTAGAATTCTGCTCCATTGATCGCATAAGTGCCCAAGCAGTCGACAAGAGCAAGTGGAGAGGATGTGAACAGTCTGAGATAAAAAGAATGACTTCGTCACTGCAGAAATTGCTGTGGGAGGCCTCACCGTCAACAACCAACGAATTTATACCAGGTAAATTATCACTGTGCATTGGAATGCCAATAATGCTTCGTGCGAACGATGCCACGGAGCTCTGTATTACGAAAGGACAAGAAGCAGTTGTATGTGGATGGGATAGCTCCGTGGGACCATTGGGGCAGCAAGTACTGGACACACTGTTTGTTCGTCTGTTACTCAAGTCTCCGCGAAAAATCCAGATAGAAGGGTTACCTGAAAATGTTGTTCCTTTGGTTCGCACTGTAACACACATAACTGTCCTGTTGCCGGATGACACTCTGCTCTCTGTTCTCAGGGAACAGGTTGTTTGCTTATTAAATTTTGCGATGACGGACTATACCTCACAAGGAAAATCCCGGCTAAGAAACCCAGTTGTGTTGACGTATTGCAAGGACCATAGGTCATAGTATGTCGCACTGTCAAGGGGTTCCACCGCTGAGGGAACGGTAATAGTCCAGGGATTTTCTCTGAAGAAAATAACTTCTGGGATGTCTGGATACCTGCGACAGGAGTTAAGAGAGTTGGAAATTCTCAATGAAATCACGAAACGGTGATTTGAGGGCAAGCTACCCCAATCAGTGACAGGCCTTTATCGAAGAAGGCTGCTTCGAAGTTATTATGCATGGAGAACGGACCACTGTGACCCACCTCATTTCCATCCTGCAATGAGATGGAACTCTTCGATGGGACCTCGTGTTCCAGAACTACAGGTTTATACCAAATGGCGACCTTCAAATACTGGGAATAAATCGGGAAAGAACACCGCCTTGGGTACGAAAAATGCTGCTGAAAACATCGAGAACGCAGAATCAGTTGCAAGACCAAAAAAACGATCAAAAAATAATGGTAACAACGCACAGGTGTCTCAAGGATATAGCACCGTCATTAATATGGATCCAATTCAAGAACAATCCCGACCGGTGGGATTCGTTTGGGACTCGCAGAACCACAGTTGTGGTTACAATGCAACATTTACGATTCTAAGTAATGTGTGGGTTGAAGATCCCAATAAGTGGACTGCATGTTTTGCATACCTGGGTCCAATCATGGCGGAACTTGCGACTGCGTTGAGGACTGTGGTGGAAGGTCCGACATCCCTTGAGCAGGCTAGGAACAGAGTTCAACATTCAATGAACACCGCCAGGCCAGCTTACTTCCCTTACGGAGCAAACACGACTTCAATAGACAGGATAGCGGAGACCCTTTTTCCGAGCAGGTATTACGCCGTTGGAAAACAGTCTTGCACGGATGTGGATATGTGGACCCACGCGATTACGGTGATAGGGCGTGTACCAAAGCACGCATGAAAACTACCAGTTTTCTTTCGATTCCGAACCTATTCAAAGGTCAAAGGGAGACTAGGATTAGAGAGAGTACACTCTCCTCGGAGTGGTATTCTACACCTATGACGGCCGAAAGTCAATGGGACACTAGTTACTTGATGCCCAACAAGGCTTCCTTACGGGAGAGGTGTTTGGTTTTCGAGTCAACCGTTGAGCTCCGAGAGTTGGCTTACCGCCAGACTCCTTGAGTGCTAGAGGTGATCAAGAGGAACTATGGGTCTTAGCGGCTGAACACTATTAGCGGGGCCTTGTTAAAGAATAACAAAGTTGAACTTGGAATGACTCTCCCGGCAAGCGGACTGAGCTCTACCGGTGGCTTAACGGCCCACCGGGAGAGTATCAGCCCTACGAGAGAGCATCAGCCTTATGGGCGGCAGTCTCAACTCAAGTTGAGTTTCGGCCCGCCGGGAGACCCCGTCTGGGTTTACTGTTGAGCCGCTCGAGTGCAACTCGGATCAGAGAATCAAGATGAGCCCCATTGCAAATGATGCGACAGAGTTTAGGTTGAAGTAGAAAGACAAGACTAGTGACCATTGATATAAACCATCCTCCGGGAAGGTTGTAGAGAACATGTCCAAAAGACTACACTAGAGGGAGAATATGGGACTGACAGGACTCGCCGGGAGAGACTACTTCACGTTGACTCTACTGGCAAGCCACTTGTTGGCAGATGATTAAGTCTCGGGACTCGAGTTTCAGATGGAGATCCTCGACGGTCAATCACGGCACATACATGTCTCCGGGAGGAGTGATTGGGATAAAGCAAAGAGATTAGAGAAGGTGAAGCAGCTATACTAGAGAAAGGCTCGCCGGGAGGCTCAGTCCTCCGGGAGAACCAGTTCAAGTTGAGTCAAGCCGCCCGCTGAAGGCTGCCTTTAGAAGAGGGTACCTGAAAGAGGTTTCACTAGGATCTGGGATCGCCGCCGGGAGCACTACCTCCGGTAACCATGAACCCACGGTTGAAGGAATGCCAACGGCGCCATTGGCTGCCCTACCGTAGATCCGCCCGGAGGGATCATTCACGACATATCACGCCATTATGAATCAGCCAAACTATCCCCTTTTTGCTCCCTCAGTTTGTATAAATACAGTAGAAATACACCAATGTAAATCAGTGAATCCAGCCCCCCGCT